CCAATGGGAACCCCTATGATGACCCCAATGATGACCCCATCTCATCCCATGACAACGCCTGCTAACCAGCCAGCCCAGACCCCCTCCTACCGGCCGACACCCCGGGCAGCAACCACCCCAGCATGGCCTGGGGCAACACCCAAAGCTACTCCTAGAATTGGTAAGTTGTCTTTTACACTAGCTCTCAACAGGTTTCCAAAAGTAGGGTACCTTAAAACCTGTAAAGGTTTAATCAAGTGTTGTAGCAAAAAATAATGTTCCTCTAAAAGTTTGAAAATTTTGCATGTTCATCATTTGAATTTTGTGATTTAGCTAGAAATATTTTGGGTTGCTTTGTTTTTGTACCAACATTTGTCCTGCTTTACAAACTATTTTCTCAGATTGTTGTAAATATAATATTGGGATATTCTTGGGTTCTTAAGGAAATTCCACCCTCCTGTGATGTCATAGGTTTTAGCAAAAACTGTTATTAATTTAAATTTATACCCAATAGAAAAATTTTTTTTTGAAAGAATGTTTTTCAATGGGTGTAATGAAAAATATTGTAAAGTAAAAGAGTTAAAAATTTGAATATTTTCTTTATTTAATCAATTATTTAATCCTTAAAAAATGTTGCTAAGGGCAGTAACTCCTGCTGATGTATCTTTATTCAGGCATTTTCTAACTTGTACTTCTAATGTAAAATGGTTTCGCTGATATTCACAATTCAAACATATTTATAAAATAACAACTATTTTGGAACTTTCAGCATCAGAATTATGTATTGAACCAGTTTTTACGTAATTTTTAAAATACTGTTTACTAAAATGTACGATTTTTTTATGCTCACATATACTTCTTGTTTATTTATGTCTTACGTCTTAAAAAATATGGCAACATATACATTTTTGGTGATTATTAATCAATTTAAACTACATTCAGTGAAAATAAATGCAGTTTTTCTATTTTGAACCCATAAATTCGCGAGTATGGAAATACCTTAAGTGTAATATATGCATCTAAATGTAAATGAAAAATTTACTGAATAGGAAAAGTACATTTTATTTATTACATATCCTTGTAATTCCAAGTTTATTTGTATTATTTTGAAATGTTTTTCATTATATCAAGTAAACGACTTGTTGTATCAAATGTTTATGTACCTGTTTATACCTGCCAGGTTCCACCACCCCTCAGCATCAAGGACAGACGCCTAGAGCTGGCCCCAGCACAGCAGGCATGGACTGGGCCAAAGCAGCCCAGATGTGGGCCAAGCGGTCCGGCTCCACCAAACCTGGCACCCCGAGGCACGGACAGAGTCCCCGAGGGGTGAGACCATCCCCCAGGCCGAGCCCCAGACATGAGGGGTACACAGCAGGAGATTCCACACCTCTGTTTGACGAGCGATGATCTGTTATTGGAAAAATGTACATAAGTAAAATCTGCACATAGAAAAACTTTTTTATTAAGAAAATCATCAACAGTTGAGTCCATCTTCACTCTTTTTTTATGTGAGAGGCCTTTACTGATGAGTCATTGTCATGGTTGACGCTGAGGAGGATAGTCAGCTCCAGTGACGCTCACTGCTCTGTCATAAAGGAAAGCAGGATCTCTAAAATCATTGACTGGTGACAGTTTTACCATAATTTTGTATTTTCTTGCGAGAGAACTGTAGAAATATGTGTAACAGATCTTAATGTTCTGGAGTCAATTGTGTGTCAATCATTGCCTCGGGTTTTAATCCATACCTGATTGGCTGTTTATGTGCTAATAAGAGCAGGAGTAGATTAAAACTTATGGCTCGCTATTATTATTTTGTACAAAATATCCATTTTATGAAAAAAATGTGTATTACTTCTGCAAGAGATCAATAAATACCTTTGATAAAATGTAAGGCTTTGTTGTACATGTGTACTGTAGGTTATATAAGATGTTTTTTCACGGTCATCATTTAACTCGAGTTTAGGAGGACTTACATGTACATGAAGTTAAAATCCTGGCCCCTGGATCATGAAACATTTTAACCTTAAGTCAACATTTTTATATTATACTTAAATGATGTGGAAGTCAAGCAAATCAAAATTAAAAAATGTTTTAATATTGATTCACAAAAGTGTTGTTTTGTTAAAACAATTGATAAAAGATGCTGCTGTAGCCCTAAATTATCCTTAGATTAAGAATAGTTGGAATAGTAATTTCCCTACAGTTGCAGAGAATTCACTGCCTTCTAGCAAGTATGCACGGCTCTTAAAAATTAAATTAGGTAGGAATACTTTAATTATGATTCTGTTTTTCACATGCACTCAGTTTCCCTATACATTTTTTATACTTATTTCATCTACCTGAAGACCTATCTTTACATTACAGACTTTCGAAAAATGTTTCCTTAGAATGTTACGATTGTTAAGTCTCCATCATATGTCTGCATATGTAGCCTTTTTTCTTAAACAGTTTTTCAAATAACTACTTCTATATTTTTTGTCATTAAAACTTGGGTATACACCCATAGATAATTGTTTTCACAGTTTTAAATTTTGATGAACGGTGTTGCATTGGTTACTGAAAATAGAATTTGTTCTGTATTTTTCAAGACTTGATACCTGTATTCTTTTTACAATTTTGGTCCGAATAAATGTAGACTGACCGAGGTATATAGTTCTGTGTAAAGTTTTTTTAATACCCCACGCAACAAGTTGCGTGAGGTATAATGTTTCTGACCCGTCCGTCACTCAGTCAGTCAGTCCTGTTTTTTTTGTCAGCGCAACTCCTCATAAACCGCTGCACAGAATTTCGTCAAACTTTGTGCGTATTACCAGGAAATTCCGATTCCTTTATTTTTTTCTGGGAATTTCGGCACTTTTCAACTTAGATTTTTGGCCATATCTTGAATATAGAGATGAACAGTTTGTCAGTGCAACTCCTCTTAAACTGCTGCACAGTATTTCATAAAATTTTGCAGATACTTAGTACACAGTGTGTAGATGTGCATATTACCAGGAAATTCCGATTCCATTATTTTTCTGGGAATTTCGGCACTTTTCAACTTAGATTTTTGGCCATATCTTGAATATAGAGATGAACAGTTTGATAGTGTAACTCCTCTTAAATCGCTGCACAGAATTTGGTTAAACTTTGCAGATATTTAGTACACAGTGTGTAGGGCTACAGCAGCATATTGCCAGGAAATTCTGATTCCTTTATTTTTGCCTTAAGAGTTTTGCCTATTATTGAAGAAACTTTTGAGCTAGGTAATAAGGAAATCCACTGTAGTCAGCTTTTGTAATGAAATTTTAAGTGATATATTTTATGACCTTTAAAGACCCCTATTGATTTTGAGATCAAAATATTAATGATTTAAAACACTAACACACACAAAATCTTGGATAGTTCTCACCCCCCACCCCACCACCAACCCCCTCCCCTCAAATTGGTGCTTTGCCTTTAATAATTTCATAAGAACAGCATATAAACAAATTCATATGACTACATCATAATTTTGTTTCCTTCAATTATTTAAAGCAATATGAGCTGCATTTTTGAGAATTTTATTTTGCTGATAAAATGTGTTATTATGATAAATTTGTATGTAATTTAAACCTTTGTGATCAATTAGACAGAAATAAAGTATCAAATAGTTTCAGAACAAAGGATTCTGTACAATCAAATATATAGTATTATAGAAGAAATCAATATTGTACAGGACGACAATAATGTAATTTTGCTTCAATCAAAGCTTATAAATAGTTCTTCCATCGCAAATATGAACAACAGAAGTTCATAAACATTCTTTTTTTCTGTCATTGAAATAGTAATTACAATTTTGCAACAAAAACCTCTGACATCAAAGTTGCAGCTCGTATTGCTTTAAATGTGTAAAATGTCATGTGTTGGACATGGACTTACACTCATTAACAAATCGAAATCACTGAGGAATTTAAATAACAGTTTGTCAGCATAACTCCTGCACTGAACTTCCTCAAACTTTGAAGGTATTTCAGGCATAATGTATAGATTTGTATATTACCAAAAAATTTTGATTCCATTATTTATCCAGAAACTTCAGCCCAATTAATTTGTAACATACAAAGATTTGAATGTCCTTATATGCAAGAAGTTTTGATGTGATGATTTTTTGCAAGTAATGCCCCTTTTTGAATTATACTGAATTTTTAAAATGCACTGTGCCATTCATTACGTGTTGCATTGTCGAGTTTTTGGGGAGCGTGGGGTATGTGAGCTTGCTCACTTTTTCTTTCATTTTTTTTGGGGGGGGGGGGTACATTTTATTCAAAAGTGTTGTCATGCTTACTAAAATTCGATTTTTTTTTTTTTAGTTTCTTTCAAATGCCTCTTCTACATTTTTGGTTCGAAATCAGTAAAACTTGATATGCTGGTACATTACATGAAGATACTCAGTCCCACATGTTTTTTTTTGTTTTTTTTTTTTTTTTTTATTAATAGTGTTCCCATGATTAACAAATTGATAAATTTCTGTTGACAGTGTGAATCCTTGATCGATACAAGATGTAAGTACCGATTAAAAACGCGTTACCATAGTAACACACAAGTCATGGCTTTAAAAGCAACAAAAGTTCATTAAACTTGCTATATCGTATGTATGGCAAGCTGTTCTGCTCTTTAATATTTTACCTCCTTATGTAAGAAGAGAAATCTTGAATTTAAGTATTCTTTTTACGAAGAGAAATATCTTGGTGTGAAGTGTTTTAAAATTACTAGTAGATGTCAACACAGTGCAACAACGACGCAAAATGTAATAAACTGTAATATTTACATTTTGCGTTATTAATTCTGTGTCAAGATCAGCGCAAAATGTAACAACACAAAATGTTATAATCGTAGTTTATAACATTTTGCGTCGTTATAACATACATGTATTCCTTTATATCGCAAAGACGTTTTCTTTCTTAAAGAGATACATTTCCATGATGGAGATAGATGTCTATGTCAAAAGAGATGCCCCTCTAACTAAAAGATATATCGATTTACCGAAAAGACATCACTTTCAAAATAACCTAATATTTTATCCAAAAAGAAAGACCTCTGAAATATTAGATATAATTAAAGATGTCTGCTTTCGCAAAAGTACACGACATGTAACATCGTTTTTCAAAGAGATTGGGGCAGCAAGAAAAAAGGGGAAAAAATAACAAGCCAAAATAGGGGAAAATCGAAAAATCCAGGGGGGGGGGGGTCCAACTTGGAAAAAAAAACTTTCTGTGAAAGGCCCGAGGAGTTCCGAGTGAGGCCTGTCATTTCAATGAAAATTTCCACACTAAATAAAAATGTAAGGACAAAAAATTAAACACTGAGAAAAGGGGGGGTCATGTATAGGGCTCCCCCTCCCATCCTATTACTATTACATGTATAGCCCCCCCCCCTCCCATCCTATTACTATGTGCCTGAAGTAAGTTTTTTCTTCCAAAAATATAGTGATAACATTTCATTTATAATGCACATTCAAAAGAAATACTTTCATTTTTATAACACCTTTTAAACTTTTTTTTTTAATTTTCAAAAACTAAACAAAAACAGTCAAAATGAAAATTTCAGAATCAAGGGTATAGCTTTTTTCCACTATTTCTTTCCATTCTGTCGTCAATATCGCGATAAACACAAAACCCTTGAAATAGTGCGCTTGGAACATGCCTTAGAGAAAGCAGGGAAAAACCTATCAAAGTCTAAATACATTTATTTTTCAGTTGGTAGCTTTAATAATGTGTCTCTGCTATCGACAAGATAACGCACTGATAACAGAACCTCAATCCCGCTACCAACCACGCAGAACGCCATACTGTCACCATGATCAAGACTTTAGTTGTCGCCCTTTGTGTGTTTGGGGCCACGGGTTTTTTGGCGGACCCTTATGACGGTCTGTTCGGAAAAGTTCTGTATAACGTGGAGAGACAAATCGCCTTCTTCAGTTCTGACTACAGCGATATTAATGTGGACGGATTATTCGGTCTGCGTATGGCTCAAGGTGCGTTTTGGAATTTTCACGTTAAAGTTGACCATGCGCGGATCTAAGCAAAAGGTATTTTGTTTTCAGGTCCTCATTGAAAGACAGCGTATTATGAAAAACACCAGAAATTTTAATAATATTTTAGACCAACAGTTTTTTATAGCACCGAAACCTTCTTTACTAGTGTAAAATATATCGTCGAACGCGGGTTTTTTTTAATGTCTTATATTAAGCGATGATAATGATATAGCTCTTAGAAATGTTTACTTTCTGTAGTAAGAAACAGTTTCTAAATGCCATATAATATGACTTATTTCTTCAAAGCTAAGAAAATCATGCTACATATATTGATACATGTTTTAGGGGGTTTTTTTCATTATACAAATTAAGAATACTCAGGTAAAATTCTATATAAATCAGACCCAGTATTATATGAAAATGGTCGAAATCTCATGAAACTCAAATGAATCTGCAAACTCTACCAGATAAAGGTATTCAACTGTGTATTAATTACCAGATATAGGTATCCAACTGTGTATTAATTATCTCAAAGCTTAACAAAGAATGTGTTCGTTAGGCCAAGGATGAAGTTTTTCAAATGTATGTCAAACTCCAAGGTCAAGGTCAAAATGTCAAATGTTGGTACTCAAAGAAAGGTCTTGTCACAAGGAATACATATGTGAAGTATGAAAGCCCTAGCACCAACCATTCAAAAGATATGACCAAGGTTAATGTTGTTCAGAAGTAGGTCATATTCCAAGGTGAAGGTAATTAGGTCAATAATATTGGTACCAATGGAAAGGTCTTGTCACAAAAGGATAAGTGAAATATGAAAGCTCTAGCACCAACCGTTCAAATGCAAGGTTAGGTTTTTACAAATAGAGGTCAAACTCAAAGGTTAAGGTCAGGAGGTCTAAATTGTTGCTACCCAAGGAAAGACCTTGTCGCAAGGAATACACCTGATATTTGAAAGCACTAGCACCAACCACCAAAAGGTATATATGGCCAAGGTTAAAGTTATTTCAAAAGTAGGTCAAACTCCAAGGTCAAAATGTCAAAAATATTGGTACTCAAAGAAAGGTTTGGTCACTTGGAATACACATGTGAAAAACAAAAGCCCTAGCACCAACCACTCAAAAGTAATGGCCAAGGTTAGAGTTTTGCAATAGTAGGTCAAACTCCAAGGCCAAGGGGTCAAATTATATTGGTACCAAAAGAAAGGACTCATCGCATAGAATACACATATAAAATATGAAAGTTCTCGCACCAACTATTCAAAAGTTATGGCCAAGGTTCAAGGTTTTGAAGACACACAGATTAACAGACAGACGGACGAAGAGACCGAAAACTTTATGCCCCCGATTTTTTTTTATTAAAAAACTGCTGGTAGATAAGGTTAATTAAGGAATGAATTTAATAGCTACCCAAGTTATACTGGTATAACCTGGTTTGGGGCAGTTTAGGCCAAAATAAAATATACCTTTGTTTCCCCTAACGCGACCGACCCAATTAAAATGCGCCGACTGGAAAGTTTTTTCCATAAGATTATTCCAATATTTTTTTTTATGTTTATCAACTTCTATAAAATAGAATTCCATCAAAATCCGTTTTTATCAGAACGACTGATTTTGTTCTATGATTTTCAAGTGTTTGTTGGAAACAAAATGACGCCCACAACATGTCTCGGTTACGGAGGGTTAGGTCATGTTTTGAAAGTAAAGACGACGTATCTCAACCTTATGCCTTTAGCATATAAGAATCCTACACTCTTTGAAACATTTATTTTTATAAAATAAAATATACAATGACCTGACCTATTAAGCGTGTTTCGGTTGTATTTACCAAACTGTCTTAAAATTAAGTGCTTAGGCCCATATAGGCCCTCCTCATGATACCCCTCATGAGCAGACAGGGGGCCCACCGTGTGAACAAACCAATCAATTTCACTACATTTTATTCAATTTGAGTTTTGATCTTATAAACAGTTCATCAATATTCATATGTTTACTACATGTATATGGGACCATAAAAGTTGTAAATAATTGTGCAAATTTCATCCTAATGAATAGAATTCAAACGTCCTTTCTTCATGCCTTTTATTCATGGGTTGAACTTCATGACTTTGACATTGTTTATGACATTTTATCATTTTTTAGAATTGGATTGTCTCAATTAATTATAGTCAACATACTTTTTCCAAATAGATTTGAAATTATGATACAAGCTTCCTGAGACGTCCGTGTATTTTTCTTTAATAAGGCCCTTGAAGATTGGTTGTTTCTTTGATTTGATTTCCTTTGATAATCATTGGGATAACAACATTTATATAAACATTTGTCTGGTGAAGGGCTCCAAATTTAGACTTGTATGCGGCACTTTAGGCTATTGAGTAGTGAGAGATCTTTTTCGTGCCAGTATATATCTACTGCGACACTGGACCTAAGTTTTTATGGTCTCATTCGAAGAACCGGTCTCAATGTTCCGCATTGGGATTTGAACCTGCAACTTAGAAATAGCTCCTTACTTCGAGACTCCAAAACGAAATTAATGCTCTAGAACCACTGCACAATTCGAAGCCCTTGAAAAAGTACATTGCATGTATAAGCACTGGAAGCTGATAGTACATGTAGGTATGAAAAAAATACTCGGATGTCCGGTCTTTGTGTACCCGAGAATCTTTTAAACAGATGTATTCAATTTCAACAAATTTACTCTGGTATGAAATATTTCACAACTTCGACTGAATAATAGTCGTGAATTAATTTACCTTAAATGTTAGTCTTACCGGCATTTGTATGGTATTCTAGCTGTTTACAAATTGCTTTCTTTTGTACTTAACTTATTTATAAAGGTATAATTCCATTTCATATTAAGAATGTATTTTCAAAGCTGCTGTCAAAAAAAATTATTTGCCTACCTACCTACCCAACTTGAGATTTTTGGGTCGGGTTAGGGGAAACAAAGATATTTTTAATGATGGCCTTACGCTTTATAAACCGCGAAGCGGTTTATAAAAAAAGCGTAAACTGCATGTTACAACCCAGGTTATACCAGTATAACTTGGGTAGCTATTAAATTCATTCCTTATAATTTAATTTTCTATCCTTAAATGTAAAAAATATGACAATTTTTCCTTCAAAAATGCCTTCAAATTGTACGTATTTTAAATGTAACGTCAAGCGGATTGATACGTTTTTGACGTAAGTCATTGTGACGTAGGCAACCCAGGTTATACAATTTATTCTAATTTTTTTATCCAATCAAATGACGCGCTACAACCAAAATTAAATTATATAAAAATAGATTCTGTATATATGCAATATCCACGGATATTATGACTATACAAAGGAATTACCCAGCTAAAACATTATAAATCAAAGACAGGGGGTTTGACCAGACAAGTGTTTATTTTTAGGTCAGATGATGGAGGCAGTGGAACAGTGTTATAAAACACCTGCATGTTCTGGTCAGTATCTGTCCAAACTCAAGTCCATAGAGTCCAAAATCGGAGAAACTTCAGATAAAGCCCTCCCCTATGTGAAAGAGTCCGACCCCGCCTATTATCAGCGATTCCTCCAGACCATCAGCAAGGCGTGGATACTCCCTTATCAACCAATGGAGTTTGACGACACAGATCTGACATCCGTCACCCTCGGGACGAACTCCTCCTATGACGAGGATTACGGAGACGCTTGTTACGCCAGGGTGATGGGAACGTTTAACAAGTGAGCAACGTTAAACTATCCAGCTATCCGGGAGTTAGAAAAACAAATTAGTTCTTGACTTAGAAATTTTGAAATGGGGGGGGGGGAGGCAGCAAGGTTACTAGTATTTCGGGTGTTTTGTATTTGTAGCAGTCTCCCTCGTTGTACCATGACCCCAGAATGCTGGAAGTTCATGACATCAGAAAATACATCAAAATACGCCATCACGCACCAGTTACTCTATTTCATCGTCATTGAGCACGTAAGTCAATACAATTTACATTGGCGAAGAGTATATATATATATATATATATATATATATATATATATATATATATATATATATATATATATATATATATATATATATATATATATATATATTAAATTACTCGTTCCCCAAAGAAAGGACATTTTGAAATTGAAAGTACGGAGGACTTGTGATAATACCCTCATCACAAAGCTTGCCAGTGTGAACACGTAGCGACTGGGTCTTAAGGACATTGGTAAGTCAAGGTTTTCCGGAGAAAAAAGGTTTAATACATGGTTTTTTCACTTATGAAATAGTGATTGAGAGTGATCTCCCGTGTAGAATTCTCTAAGCGGTGAAAACCAATAAAGCGTATGTTTACAGAGGTAAACAAAAGCACGTGTACTTCTTTCAACGGGTAGTATCATCAATACAGCAAGAAAGAAACGTAGTAATGGCTTCGTTGTAAATTGTATTCAGGGGACAAAGTAGCCAACAGGTCGTCATTTACCATAGTTATGCTCAGTATGCTGGGAAGGGAAAAGATGTGACATATGCTGAAAGGTAGACCACAGGGGCTTGTGTAGAGAAAATAAATCAGTTAGAAAATTAGTACCTCGGAGGAAAAAACACATGTCTTGTTTCTATATATACATTTTCAGCCAAAATATCTAGAAGTCATAGGAAATGAAGATACAATAATGTATATAATACAAAAACTATGTAAAATAAGTGGGTTTTGGAGAAATATTATGGTGAAAAATTATGTAGGTCCCTTTTATCAACATTTTACATAGCAGGCCCGTAGGAAGCAATTTCAGTTTGGGGGGGGGGGGCACAGCCAAACATTTTTCAGTTGACAGTTGAGGGGGCACTACCAAAAATTTTTGGTCCCCCCGGTTCCTACGGCCATGCATAGGAAATGCATTGAGAATTGCAAAAACACTGATTTGACAGAATCTAAAAAGAAGACTGGCTTGGTAGGTAAAACAATCCAGAATATAGCCTGTTTAGTACAATAAAAACTACTCAAGAGTTCTTGAAAAATTCTATACTATAACCAGGAACCTTGCCAATGTCCTTAACCACCCCACCCCCACCCCCCACAATAAACCAAATTTTAACAAATTTAACACAGAAAAACGATTTTAAAATGAGTGGATTGAATTGAGAAAGTTTACAATTGTTGCAATTCGATTTAACAAATTCAAATATCATCGCTTGTACAAAACACATTAATAATTTAATAGACCATATTCACCGACAATATGGATTGTCAGTTGCTGGAAGAGAGAACCCCAACCCAGAGGTGGAAGAAAATGTTTATGAAATTTTAAGATAACAAACAGTATTCATGATCAAAAGCCCATTGAAACAATACAAATTATGAGCAGAGCAAACACAGACCTCTGACAACATTAGTGGTGAGATCAGGTGCCATGGAGGAGTAAATATCCTCTGACTGGTCACAACCGCCGTGTACCCTTTGTTACGATCGTGTAAACATTTTGTCTGAAAGAGGTCAGTCAACATTTGACCTAACGACAAATTATATTTGCAAAAAAGGTCATTGCATCGATCATAGAATTAGCGAGATGTTACAAGATTTTAGATACCCTTGCATCAACAACTTATTTGTTAGTAGTCTCTCTCGTTTTAGAAATTGTTTGTACAAAGAACATGCTCTTGCGTTTTGAATCAACTGGAAGGCGTAAACCTTATATGCGGGTGATAATGGTATATTGCAGCATAAATAAGGGAAGCTGGCGATAGAAAAGTTGAAAACATCATGTTTATCAATAAGTTTATGTTGTTAGTTTGTCATTAATATCTTTCTCTAGTAAAATATCCAAATGTAATGCAGATTTGTCCTATATCCCATGTTGTATTGTATACAGTGAAATTTAATAACGTTTTTTAATGCCGAGGCCATCTTCGCTAGCCAAGGGTGTATATACTTTGCTCTTAGATTGAAGAGGATCGGGAGAGGAATGGGTCGTCACCCTTGGCTAGCCAAGATGTGCTTACGCTCATCTGATGAGAAATATAGAAAATTTGTCACAGTTCCGTTTGACGGAGTACAATCACGTCACAGCCTCCTTACAGTCCGATTAATATTTTTACCTACAGGTAGGGTGTCTAAAGCAGGTAGAGAAGGATTTACACGGACACAAGGTCAGAGATGTGCAGACGCGCATGTGCAAAAAAATCTACAAAGAGGCGCAAAATTTGGTTAAGAACGGGAACGTGAAATCAATAAACAGAGATCTCTTTCTGGAACAAAGTGAGTTTTTTTTATTCCTGTACATAAAATAGGTGTATAGAGAATGGTGTTGAAATGCATTCATGCTTTGTTCTTGAGCAGCTGTTCTGTGTGGACCGTTGGGATATGAGAGTTTTATGCGAGAGGATTGGATGAAAATGGTTCTGCGCTGGTTAGATGCACGTGTCGGCTGCTTCAGAATGACCTTGGACGACCTTGAGCAATTGACCGACCAAATGGTGAATGATGTGTATAAGAACCTAAATGTTTCCAAGGCGACTTATGAAAAAGCCAAATTACAGGCGGAACAAGAATCAAAAGAGACGTACGAAAAAGAGGAGGCAGAGGAACTTAAGGCGGAGTAAGATATCTACTCTCTACCTACATATCAGTTCATCTCGCGGGACTCATAATGGAGTGTTTTGGGGCATATTTAGATTTCGTCCATTACTTTGAAACACACTACTTACAATATTTTCTTAATAGAGAGAAAATTGAATTCTTTCGTCAGATTGCAATAATGTCAGTTTGTGATCTAGCAAGGAATGCTCACGTGATTATTAAAAAAAAATATTTGATATTTGAATACACTCTCTCATATATTGGGAAAATGTATTCCATAAAAATGCACTCAGGAATTGCGAAAATATATATACCATATAAATATACATCTATAACAATCGTACTTTTAAAACTAGAAATGAACCCGCACATATTTTAGGGAAAAAGTACTCCTATTATCAATTGATTCAATTTATACAATATAAAAATGCGTTCATGCACACAGAAAAAGATAATATAACAAATGAAAATGTTCTCACAATTTTTTTTAAATGTACAAATACGATGTAAAAAAGGTTGTCAAACAATTAATAAAATGCACCCAAACAAGCAAAAGAGTATTCACATTTTACATGTAAACGATACACATTTTTATGTATACACACATATCATAAAAATATACTTGTTCAATATACAGATATGCTGTATAAATGTCTGACAACTAATAAAATGAAATAAAAAGTCTTGAATAATCGTAATAAATAAATATTGGACAAAGTGATCATTAATTTGAAAATTTTAACAGGTCAACCTCAGGCTCCACAATGAGAAAACTAATGAGGGAAAAGGGAATGAAAGGTAAAGACTTTTCTTCATTTGTGAGCTTTTTTGTTTGTTTGTTTGTTTTATGTTTTGGTTTCTAATACGAAACCCATGGCTTGAGAGTTGAAATTATGTTATTTATATACAGATCCATAAATAAGGGGTTGATTTGACATGTATATCTTCTTATCAGCTTGTCTATATGTTCATTTGTTCACCCATTCATAATAAAAAGGCTGCATCTTTTGACCCTTGTTTAATTTAGTCAACATTGTTTCATTTAATTTCTGCTTACTACATATACTTTACTTCATGTATATAGTACATGTTCATGCATTTAGTTGCATAGCGTAACATTTTTCTAAGCTCAAGTAAATGCGTAACATAATTGGAAAAAAAGTTAGATTCAACATGAAGAGTGGGAGATAAGGTTCATATATACCTTCTGGCAAGAGAGACAACTCAATGACTATTATTTCTTTATAAATTTGTCAAATTAAAAGGCCAGATGTGTGAAATTTTGCCCTGCAAAATATGTACGTTGGAATTGTGTTTCAATTCTTTTTTTTTTTTTGGGGGGGGGGGGGGTCATTAGCGTTAAAGCAAAATTCCATATAAGTGATCATAAAGATCGCGAACCTTAAATAAGCTACATTTTTACTTAAAAATGGATCGGTAGGAAACTGAGCTCTTTGTTTTGATCCGTTTGTTTGTTGTTTTTTTTTTTTTCTTTCAGATGACTGAGTCGCTCACATTTGAACTCTTTGTTTTGACTCGTGCTTGTTTTCCAGTTTTAGATGATTGTGTCGCTCATATTTGAGGTGTTTTCTTTTGACTCGTGCTTGTTTTCTTCTTTCTGATGACTGTGTCGCTCATATTTGAGCTCTTTTGTTTTAACCCGTGCTTGTTTTCTTTCAGATCAATGAGATGACTGTGTCGCTCACATTTGAACTCTTTTGTTTTGACTCGTGCTTGTTTTAATTTTTTTTTTCGATGACTGTCTCGCTCACATTTTGAGCGGTTTTGTTTTGACCCCTGCTTGTTTTTCTTTCAGGTGACTGTCCCGCTCACATTTGAGCGGTTTTGTTTTGACCCCTACTTCCCCCCCCCCTTTTTTTTTTAGATGACTGTCTCTCTCAAATTTCAGCTCTTTGTTTTGACCTGTGCTTGCTTTTTTTTCCCTTTCAGATGAGTGTTTCGCTTACATTTGAGTTCTTTTTTTTTATCTGGGCCTGTTTTCTGTTTTGGTGACTGTGTCTCTCATATTTGAACTCTTTGTTTTGAACTGTTTCTTTTTTAAGAGGACGGTCTTGCTCAAATTTGATGTGTGTGTGTGTTTTCAGTTGACGTTTCGCTCACAGTTGAGCTCTTTGTGTTTTGACCCGTGCTTGTTTCCCGATCTTTCAGATGACAGCGTCGCCCATATTTGAACTCTTTTGTTTTGACAAGTGCTTGTATTCCTCTTTCAGAAGACTGTCTCGCTCACATTTGAGCTTTTTATTATGACTCGTGCTTGTGTTCCTCTTTCAGCTGACTGTTTCGCTCACATTAAGCTTTTTGTTTTGACCCGTGCTTGTTTTCTATTTTAGATGACTGTCTTGCTCACACCTCCGGACTTGGATTTGGAGTTTACGCCACGTACCTGAATTACCTCATTCTACATATGTAATATTTTATTAAACTCAGAAATGAGAATAAATTCGTCCTGCGTTCTGTCTATTGGCGTTTTTATGGTGCTCTTTAGTTTTACTTGCATGACTCCTTGGCAGTCATTGACAAATAAACATGACGAAATTCTTTTTTATTTCCAAGTTAACAAATTTAATTCAACCTAAGTATTCAGAATTATTAATCAAACGTATATTGTTTTAATCAATTCATCCACAGAGGATTTGAACCCCTAACCGTTATAGCGCAGATCGACTGTCATTTATTTTCAGGTTCAGTGCTCTTAAAACTGTGTCAAGTGGAGATAACTTTGATCTGCGCTAAAACTCTCACTTGATCTTGACTCACTTGTTTTGGCATTTTAATTTTTCTTTTTACCGATTTTAAATCACACCCATGAACTGTGCGTTTGTTCATCCCATTGATCTTGTTATCAGGTCATTATTACATTTATTTGACACCTTGTGTAGTTAGATGCCCCGTTATCTGTTATATAGTGCAATGTTATCCGTCATACAATATACATGGACCAGGTATTACACGTGTGTTAAATAATAATAATTAAGGTAAGAATTTAATTAACTTTCTACTGTACATATTTTTTCAATGTAAGAAATTATGAAGAAAATCCTCCCATGATGTTTTCTGGAGACATGAAGTTTGAAAGTTTAAATGAATATTGATCATTCCATATCGCGGTTAAAAATATACAAAATCATACAGAACAATGTTAAGATCAAACTCACTGGAACAAAATGTATAGTATGTAAAATAAATTAGTATGACAAATTGATGACTAAAAGCTGAAATAGTCATTAAAGAAAATAAAGCGATCATAAATTCATCTTCAAATGAGAAAAAAAGATCAATCATCACACTGTATACATGTAGGTGCTTAAATATACATTGTAATTATATCCGTAGCATCTGTCACAGTTTTCATTGCATCGATTATATAATATGTACATGAATATGTGTATATTTTGAAGTTGAACATACAGAAACACGATCGATTTTAATAGCTCTAATAAATTATTATATACATAGTGTAAACTGATATAGAATTAAGTATCGAACTTGTCCATAGTACTTAGTACTGAGGACTCTACCTACATATGACATCATTTCACAGCCTCAGTGGTTCTCTCTCTCTCTCTCTCAGTTCTGAAAAAAATTAGATCCACGTCCCTTCGGAAAAGTGAGTCCCTTCTACGTTAAAAAAAATGCTGGTATATTTACCTGAAGTAAAAAAGGATTCCATGTCTCAGATACTAGTAACTTCACCTACCAAGAGGATATTGTAAACCGAACAGCTTCCCTGTAAAAAAAAAATAATAATGCTTATAATCATAAAGTATTCAAAGTTTATACATTTAATGTATTTACCTTGTTACCCGATAATGATAACTTTTACGATTTTCAAAATAATTATCTCATGTAATTTTCGTAAATTGGATAGATTTATGCAACGAATTCTTGGAAACAGTGCAAAGGAGTTAATAGTTATTAAACAATAAAAATGTTTTCTTTAAATATGTGAGGATAAAGTTTGAGACATTGCAAAAAAAAAAAAAAAAAAAAAAATACATGTAATATCCCACTATAAACATTTTTCTGCTATGATTGCGACAGTTTATTCCTTAAAGAAAGGTGTTTAATATCGTTTATATGTATATCTCAATAAATTATAAAGATATATATAAAGTGTGTGAAAGTACGTAAAGAATTGTATTTATGGTCCTTATATTGATGGAAGAGCCCGCTTTAAAATAACCAGTTTATTGTTAATTAAGGCAATCCGGTTTTAGAAGGTAAAAGGAGAACATATTCAATGGATGTTATTATTGTGTAACTACGGGTGATTTAAACTTGTCAAATTATAACTCATAATTCTGTCTTTTAAAATTCTACAGAAAACCGAGATGGCCGAGATGGCATCATGTGGTCGCTGGGCGGTGCTGCTCGTGGTGTTTATCTTAGAAACAGTTGACCTTTTCTGTGATTGGTTGTTCTACACACAGGTCAAGGACAGCAGTGAATCTTACATCAAAAACCACGCCTATCTCCACTGGGTAATATTTGGGGTGGCTGTGCTGGGGACCTTGACCTTTGTGTTTGAGGTCATTAATCTTGCTGTAGAACTGTTCAGGAAAGAAAAATCTTGTTTGATGGCGGACACAGTTTCCATGATATCTACGTGGGTGGAGGATGTACCTCAGATTGCGGTGGCGCTGGCGATCGCCGCTAATTCTAAACGTGTGGTTCACTGGATCCAGTTCGTAAAGGCCGGCTGGGCGGTCCTAGAGGTGGCTGTCCGTGCCCTGGCTCAGTGTGTTTACTGCTGTAAGATTTCCGACAGACCTCATCGCTCCACGGACTATTTCGTCTCGCTCTCTAAGTTCCTGGCACAAATTATCGTCCTTGGGTGTTCTGTTGGAATACTCCTCTGCCTTCTCCAGGAAAATCAAGGACACTGAATATATTTATTTATTTGTTTGTTGACTTTATTTACCATGTTATTGTAACTGAGTCGCGACCCTTCAACAAGTGGACATTCTAATATCGATGTTATTTAATACAGGGCTATCACATTCACGGTGACTATTGTCACCATATCTACCTGTTTTCAACTTGTTAGTTCTCTTTGATTTTAGGATAACAACAAAAAATTGAGTGGCAACACTAGTCAATTGTGTTTTTGTATATATATCATGTTAATGCAATAAATTGTTTTCTCTATCAGTTTTTAGACAAACTATTACGTACTATATATATATTTCCAGAAAAGACGTTTTAACATAATTTCAAATACTTCCGAAATTTTATTTTTCATGCAGAATAAATACAATTGCTCTTGGAATCCTTTGCCAACATATACTTAGGCAAACATTACAGTAAGTTGGATATTTCTGAGGTTTTCTTAAGTTTTCTCTATCTAAAACAGTCTCTCGGCGATCGCAAAAAGGCCAGTAGCCTTTCAAATAACACCAAAGGATCGCCAAAAAAGATTTCATAACGAGATGTGGCATCCTACTTAGTACTAGCTTGGGCTAGTACTTTATAGTTCTATAGTTCCTTTATAACTCAATCTTTAGAGCACTGGACTGGCATGCCAAACGTCACGATTCAATTCCATTCGGAGGCACAAAAATGTCTCTGTTACATGTGGCGCCCAAGTTGGGACCTGCCTGGGTAGTCTCTGGTATGTGAAAATGATTGATTCCAGAACATCGCCCCACAGGTTTTAGCAACTAGACTGAAGCTAGCAGCCAATAACAGCAGCCATTAAGCCCGTAGAAGCTAGCAGCCAATAAGGAAATTCATCAAAGGACTGAGAGTACTCTGACGCAATACTGTTTTAAAATGCCTCATTTTCGACAATTTATAATTTTAATTAGATAATTAATGCAACACTTAATTATTCAATAATTCAAACACTTGGAGGCAGTTAAGCTCACCTGCATAAGGAAAATTATGCGGTTTCAAAACAAAACAAAAAAAAAGAAAAGGTCATCATCTTTGACCGCTTAAGAACAAACCAACATTGAAATAGGTTAAGTACTTCCGGGAGAATCCCTTTTAAGCTCTTTTACGGGTCTCAGGAATATGATGGTGCCAAAAGGCTAACCTGAAATTACTCCTAATATTTACATTGATAAGGGTTTGTAAGTAATTTAATCTATTTTAAGTTATGATCCTTGAAGTGTGCTTCGAACAATTACTGGCACAAAGTAAAGGGTCCACAGGGCTATTATATACGGCCATGAAAATTAGGCTAAAGTGGTACCACCAAGTGGTGCCAAGGGCGGGTTACATATTTCAAGCAGCTATTATACCTCTTATCTTATAAGTTATTACTGTGGCAAGATAGAAGATTTCTAGACTATCATCTCCCGCAATCGGTATGAGGTTGTAGTGGCACCACCAAGTGGTGCCAACGGTGGGGAACATATTTCAAGCTTTCATTTTTCAACCATCATTGACCACTAGAACAAACTAACACTAAACTGGAAAAAAGTTAAGGGCCTTTAATTAGGGAGTATCCCTTGTCAACTTTTTGACAGATTTCAATGACTAGAAAAGGCCAGTTAGGTGACCTGAACTTTGTTGTTTTTCACTTTGTCTATTGATATATGGATTAAAAATCAGATGTTATACCCCTTATCTTTGAAGTGTGCTTTAAATCATTACTGGGACAAGGTAAAGGGCTCCTAGGACTATCATTTCCCGCTATCAGAATGGGACTGTAGTGGTACCACCAAGTGGTGCCATGGGTGGGAACGTATTTCAAACATTCAATTTGAAAGCATCTCTGGCTACTAGAACAAAGTAAAACTAGTGAAAGGTTAAGGACCTTAGAGAGAACTACTTGCCTGGTTTTTGAAGGGTCCCGGGGAAGAAAAAGGGTCAGTAAGCTTACCTGAATTTTGTTGTTTTTCACTTTGTGATTTAATATACAGGTTAAAGGTCAGCTATTATACCCTTTATCTTTGAAGTGTGCTTCAGATCATTACTGGGGCAAGGTAGAGGGCCCCTAGGACTATCATTTCCCGCTATCAGAATGGGGCTGTAGTGGTACCACCAAGTGGTGCCATGGGTGGGGGACGTATTTCAAGCATTCATTTTGAAAGCATCTTTGGCTACTAGTACAAAGTAACACTAGTGAAAGGTTAAGGACCTAAGAGATACCACTTTCCTGGTTTTTGAAGGGTCCCTGAGAAAGGAAGGGACCAGTTAGCTAACCTGAACTTTGTTGTTTTTCACTTTGTGTTTTAATACACAGGTTAAAGATCAGCTATTATACCCCTTATCTTTGAAGTGTGCTTCAAATCATTACTGGGGCAAGGTAGAGGGCCCCTAGGACTATCATTTCCCGCTATCAGAATGGGGCTGTAGTGGTACCACCAAGTGGTGCCATGGGTGGGGGACGTATTTCAAGCATTCATTTTGAAAGCATCTTTGGCTACTAGAACAAAGTAACACTAGTGAAAGGTTAAGAACCTAAGAGAGAACCAATTGCCTGGTTTTTGAAGGGTCCCTGGGAAAGGAAGGGGCCAGTTAGCTAACCTGAATTTTGTTGTTTTTCACTTTATGTTTTAATATACGGAAAAAGGTCAGCTATTATACCCCTTATCTTTGAAGAGTGCTTCAAATCATTACTGGGGCAAGGTAGAGGGCCCCTAGGATTATCATTGCCCGCTATCAGAATGGGGCTGTAGTGGTACCAACAAATGGTGCCATAGGTGGGGGACGTATTTCAAGCATTCATTTTGAAAGCATCTTTGGCTACTAGAACAAAGTAACACTAGTGAAAGGTTAAGGACCTTAGGGAGAACCACTTTCCTGGTTTTTGAAGGGTCCCTGAGAAAGGAAGGGGCCAGTTAGCTAACCTGAACTTTGTTGTTTTTCACTTTGTGTTTTAATACACAGGTTAAAGGTCAGCTATTATACCCCTTATCTTTGAAGTGTGCTTCAAATCATTACTGGGGCAAGGTAGAGGGCCCCTAGGACTATCATTTCCCGCTATCAGAATGGGGCTGTAGTGGTACCACCAAGTGGTGCCATTGGTGAGGGGACGTATTTTAAACTTTCATTTTCAAATCACCTTAGGTCCATGGAAGAAACTAATACTGGTTGAGGTAGAAAAAATTTATCGGGTTCTCTCGGTCCTGATGGGGGCCAGTTCAACTTTGTCGTTTATTTACATTGAATATTGAAACACGGATAAAGAGCAGTTATTATAAGCCTTTCTTTGGAGGTGGATATGCATCATACCGTTAGTAGGGCATAGTAGGTGGCGTATCGGGCTATCATTTGCCGATCTCAGAATAAGACTTTATGGGAACCACCTAGTTGTGCTTTGGTTGAAATCCCTTTTTGAAGTATTTATTTTTCGCAATATTTGAACACCATAACAAACCAACACAAGGGAAGGATAAGGGATCATAGGAAGTATTCCTTTTCAGTTTTTGGAGAGTCTTTAAGACTGGACATTGCCAATTTTCTGATAGAGACTTTATTTTTTTTCTTGTTCATTTTTCAAGAAAATTTAAGATTCGTCTATTATCCCCTTATCTTTGAAGTGTACATGAAAGTACTTTTGTGGCAGAATGGGGAGGGGGGGGGGCTTATCATTTTCGCTTTTAAGTTGGAACTGTAGGGGTTCCACCAAGTGGGTTGTTTCAAGCGTTTTTTTTTCTCCGCCATCTTTGAATAATGTAACAAACCAACACAGGCAAAGGAAAAGGATCATAGGAAGTGCGCCTTGTTATGTTTTAAGAGAGTCTTTGAGGCAATTATCTTTTCCGAACCATGTCACATTTTAACATTACATTTGGAGATGAGGTTGTTCATTTACTCAGGTGACTATGTATGTTTCGTTTGTTGTCATTTGTCGTCCGTCGTATGTTATATTTAAACATATTCAGCTTTTTCTATGTGACCTTTATATAAATTTTAATCAATTTTGGTATATAGCATGTGTGATAAAAGGAGAGGAAAGTTGTGAATTTCATGTTCCCGGCTCTTTGGAGCCGAGTTATGTCCAAGACAAGATGTAGTTACAAAATCGACAGATTATTTTTTCATAGTTTGCTACAATATTTCTTTTTTCTTGTTCGTATGTTACAATATTCAATATTTACAAAGCTTTTCTTACTGTACGTATCCACGATATCGCATTGATATTCAATCATGATTATTCAATGGATGTTGGTGACCTCCCTCAATGTTATGTTACCTGAATGCTATCATTTTCTGAAGTTCCTCCTGTAGTGTCGATATCGTCGATATCATTTCGATGTCGATTGTTTGCTCAAGCATTTCAAACTGCTGTCCTTGCCATTGTGTATGTATGTCTTTGTTTAAATACTTTAAATTTAGTAAGATTGTACTTGCTATCGATATCGACGATATCGTATGGATATCAAATCATTTTCGACATCATTCTTGTGGATGCATTTCTTTATGCTACAGTTATGAGTACGTTCTTTCTGATTATTAAGTTTGCCCTAATGTCGAAATCGTACCGATATTGAATTATGATTCCGCAAACCATAATATTTTTACCAACGTTCACCCTTACCCAAAACCTTACCTTAACCCCAACCTCCTGAAAAAACAACCCCTTGCCCTTTATTTGTCATCCTTATTCATTTAGATACTTATGCCAAATAATGAATGCACATCGACCTCATACTTGCGACGTTCTATAAATATGTTTCTTCCTCAATTTGGAAATAAACTGTACAGATCTGTATCGATATCGATGATATTGTCGATATCAACGGTGTCGAAATAAAACTAAGTTTAATATTTATCCAGTATTTCCAATTCCATAGTAATGATCAGGATCGATAGCATTACAATATCGATGTTATATTGTCGATATCGATATCAAATTTGTTGGAACCTGAGGGGTGGGGTTCAAACTATCAAATTTAATGTAACTTTTAAAAGTCTTATTTACTCCTAGACATCAAGCAGTCAGACTTTTAGCATTTATAAGATATGAGAATTACGAACAGTCAAAGCAAACAATACAAAATTGTTAGCAGAGCCACAAGGACCTCTGAAAACAGAGGAGGGACCAGGTACCTTAAATGAGTGAGCGTTCCCTGTTGTCCGTTCAAATCCGTTGTTTGTTCTTTGTCATTATTGGGAAACTGGAGAATTCAGTGGACAATTCAGTGTAAAAGTAATGGACTTAACGAGAGATTGTAGTAGCAATCATGGCCATT